GAGTAGACTAGTCAGAAAGTGGAGTAGACTGGTCAGAAAGTGGAGTAGACTAGTCAGAAAGTGGAGTAGACTGGTCAGAAAGTGGAGTAGACTGGTCAGCAAGTGGAGTAGACTGGTCAGCAAGTGGAGTAGACTGGTCAGCAAGTGGAGTAGACTGGTCAGCAAGTGGAGTAGACTGGTCAGCAAGTGGAGTAGACTGGTCAGCAAGTGGAGTAGACTGGTCAGAAAGTGGAGTAGACTGGTCAGCAAGTGGAGTAGACTGGTCAGCAAGTGGAGTAGACTGGTCAGCAAGTGGAGTAGACTGGTCAGCAAGTGGAGTAGACTAGTCAGAAAGTGGAGTAGACTGGTCAGAAAGTGGAGTAGACTGGTCAGCAAGTGGAGAAGACTGGTCAGAAAGTGGAGTAGACTGGTCAGAAAGTGGAGTAGACTGGTCAGCAAGTGGAGAAGACTGGTCAGAAAGTGGAGTAGGCTAGTCAGAAAGTGGAGTAGACTGATCAGCAAGTGGAGTAGACTGGTCAGAAAGTGGAGTAGACTAGTCAGAAAGTGGAGTAGACTGGTCAGCAAGTGGAGTAGACTGGTCAGCAAGTGGAGTAGACTAGTCAGAAAGTGGAGTAGACTGGCCAGAAAGTGGAGTAGACTGGTTAGCAAGTGGAGTAGACTGGTCAGAAAGTGGAGTTGACTAGTCAGAAAGTGGAGTAGACTGGTCAGCAAGTGGAGTAGACTGGTCAGAAAGTGGAGTAGACTGGTCAAAAAGTGGAGTAGACTAGTCAGAAAGTGGAGTAGACTGGTCAGAAAGTGGAGTAGACTAGTCAGAAAGTGCAGTAGACTGGTCAGAAAGTGGAGTAGACTAGTCAGAAAGTGGAGTAGACTGGTCAAAAAGTGGAGTAGACTGGTTAGAAAGTGGGGTAGACTGGTCAGAAAGTGGAGTAGACTGGTCAGAAAGTGGAGTAGACTGGTCAGAAAGTGGAGTAGACTGGTCAGAAAGTGAAGTAGACCTGTTAGAAAGTGGAGTAGACTGGTCAGAAAGTGGAGTAGACTCGTCAGAAAGTGGAGTAGACTGGTCAGAAAGTGGAGTAGACTCGTCAGAAAGTGGAATAGACTGGTCAGCAAGTGGAGTAGACTGGTCAGCAAGTGGAGTAGACTAGTCAGAAAGTGGAGTAGACTTGTCAGAAAGTGGAGTAGACTGGTCAGAAAGTGGAGTAAACTTGTCAGAAAGTGGAGTAGACTTCAGAAAGTGGAGTAAACTTGTCAGAAAGTGGAGTAGACTGGTCAGAAAGTGAAGTAGACTTGTCAGAAAGTGGAGTAGACTGGTCAGAAAGTGAAGTAGACTTGTCAGAAAGTGGAGTAGACTGGTCAGAAAGTGAAGTAGACTCGTCAGAAAGTGGAGTAAACTGGTCAGAAAGTGAAGTAGACCTGTCAGAAAGTGGAGTAGACTGGTCAGAAAGTGAAGTAGACTCGTCAGAAAGTGGAGTAGACTGGTCAGAAAGTGAAGTAGACTGGTCAGAAAGTGGAGTAGACTGGTCAGAAAGTGAAGTAGACTCGTCAGAAAGTGGAGTAGACTGGTCAGAAAGTGAAGTAGACCTGTCAGAAAGTGGAGTAGACTGGTTAGAAAGTGAAGTAGACTCGTCAGAAAGTGGAGTAGACTGGTCAGAAAGTGGAGTAGACTCGTCAGAAAGTGGAGTAGACTGGTCAGAAAGTGAAGTAGACTTGTCAGAAAGTGGAGTAGACTGGTCAGAAAGTGAAGTAGACTCGTCAGAAAGTGGAGTAGACTGGTCAGAAAGTGAAGTAGACTCGTCAGAAACTGGAGTAGACTGGTCAGAAAGTGAAGTAGACTCGTCAGAAAGTGGAGTAGACTGGTCAGAAAGTGAAGTAGACTTGTCAGAAAGTGGAGTAGACTGGTCAGAAAGTGAAGTAGACTTGTCAGAAAGTGGAGTAGACTGGTCAGAAAGTGAAGTAGACTCGTCAGAAAGTGGAGTAGACTGGTCAGAAAGTGAAGTAGACTTGTCAGAAAGTGGAGTAGACTGGTCAGAAAGTGAAGTAGACTTGTCAGAAAGTGGAGTAGACTGGTCAGAAAGTGAAGTAGACTTGTCAGAAAGTGGAGTAGACTGGTCAGAAAGTGAAGTAGACTCGTCAGAAAGTGGAGTAGACTGGTCAGAAAGTGAAGTAGACTCGTCAGAAAGTGGAGTAGACTGGTCAGAAAGTGAAGTAGACCTGTCAGAAAGTGGAGTAGACTGGTCAGAAAGTGAAGTAGACTCGTCAGAAAGTGGAGTAGACTGGTCAGAAAGTGAAGTAGACCTGTCAGAAAGTGGAGTAGACTGGTCAGAAAGTGAAGTAGACTGGTCAGAAAGTGGAGTAGATTGGTCAGAAAGTGAAGTAGACTTGTCAGAAAGTGGAGTAGACTGGTCAGAAAGTGAAGTAGACTTGTCAGAAAGTGGAGTAGACTGGTCAGAAAGTGAAGTAGACTTGTCAGAAAGTGGAGTAGACTGGTCAGAAAGTGAAGTAGACTTGTCAGAAAGTGGAGTAGACTGGTCAGAAAGTGAAGTAGACTTGTCAGAAAGTGGAGTAGACTGGTCAGAAAGTGAAGTAGACTAGTCAGAAAGTGAAGTAGACCTGTCAGAAAGTGGAGTAGACTGGTCAGAAAGTGGAGTAGACTGGTCAGAAAGTGGAGTAGACTGGTCAGAAAGTGAAGTAGACCTGTCAGAAAGTGGAGTAGACTGGTCAGAAAGTGAAGTAGACCTGTCAGAAAGTGGAGTAGACTGGTCAGAAAGTGGAGTAGACTGGTCAGCAAACACTACGACCATCACAAACAACATGTCTCTCAACAAACAAAATACTCCCACCATCTGCCCAAAAATCTCCTATAGACGTGGAAACCAGGACAATAAAAACAGTTCGGTAGTACAGAAAATATAGGGATTTGAACCCGCTGTATAGGCGATTAGATCCTCAGATGTGGGGTCGGATCCAATAACCTGATAACGTAGATTTTTTTGTAGGCGTGGGGGGTGGGGGGAGATCCGCGTTTTTTTCGTAAGCCCTCGTTACGTGAATTGTTTTAAAAGAGGCTATTGATTGGTTTGGATTTTTTTGTGAGTGTGTGTGTGTGTGTGTGTGTGTGTGTGTGTGTGTGTGTGTGTGTGTGTGTGTGTGTGTGTGTGTGATAAGGAGGGAATTTTGCGTAAAATACACGTCACGCATACACAGATGCACGCACACACAGAGGCATCTGTCCAAAGGTACCTACTGCTCCTAGGCATCTTTCAAAAGGTATTTCACTAATCATTGACGTCCTCTTTTCCTCCCGGACAGACTAAGAAGCATCCAGTGAACCACATCAAGCGGCCAATGAACGCCTTCATGGTGTGGTCACAGCTGGAGCGACGCAAGATCGTCCAGAGACACCCTGACATGCACAACGCTGAGATCTCGAAACGACTGGGCAAGCGCTGGAAGAATCTCTCCTCTCTGGAGCGTCAGCCCTACATTGAGGAGGCTGAGAGACTTAGACTACTCCACATACAAGAGTACCCAGACTACAAGGTAGAGTAGCCCCAGACTCAGACTATTCCACATACAGGAGTATCCAGACTACAAGATAGAGTAGCCCCAGAGACTTCCAGAGGTATAACATACGGGGGATTATCGCCCTCGGATCAGTGAGGTAGAAGAAATGGGCTTCAGGGAATGCTGGGTCACCTTCCTTCCCCTACGGATTTAGCTCTTCCCAATAATAATAATAATAATAATAATAATAATAATAATAATAATAATAATAATAATAATAATGGTGCTCTCGATGCAAGTTCTAAGTGCTCATTACATAATCAACATATCCATCCACATGAGCTTTCCAGTTTTCCAAAACAGTTCCATGACTAAAGGAAAATTCGTATTGTTCCAGGATTCCAGTTCTAATCTTACTTATGACTTCCAAGTAAAAGTAATCAACTCTAACGTTACTTACTTTTTAGTTACCAATAAGACTCACGATTTAAATTATATATATATTATGTATATATGAGTATACCTGTTTGGTTCCAGTCTAGTGTACGAGTATAGTGGTTAAATTCTCGTTTATGTGAGTATGCTGACATTTATTTCCAGTCTTTTATTACCTGGAGTATACCTGGAGAGGGTTCAGGGGGTCAACGCCCCCACGGCCCGGTCTGAGACCAGGCCTTTATTTCTGTGAGAGACCAATTTTCTTCAGAAGATAAACTAGTACTGAAGATTAGCTACTCTCGTTCCAGAACAAATTTTGGTGGTACTGTACTTAACTCACTTCCAGGAACACACGAATTGAACTTGAGGAATTTGTTGTAAAAATAACGAGACTTCGTATGATGGAGTTCCTGGAAAACTTGGCTACGTCCTCCAGGAGATTAATTCCTGGAGGACACACAATTTTAAAAGAGTGTGGTGTGCACACTTTGTGCTGAGGAAAGTGTACACACGTGTACACGCATGTTGTTCTACACAGGCATGTGTACAAGTGGAGGTATACATGCAGCTGCAAATTCGTGCACAAACTTACACACACACACACACACACACACACACACACACACACACACACACACACACACACACACACACGAGTAATGAACAGCGAAGAGGGGGGCCAGGAGCTGTGAATCGACCAGTGCAACCACAATTAGGTGAGTACAAGGGAGCAATGGGACACAGATGGCAGCTGAAGACACAGATGACCCGTAGGGATGTTAGGAAGTATATCTTTAGTCTCAGGATGCTTGAAAAGTAGCATGACTTGGATGAGGCAGTGTTGGAGGCAAACTTAATACACAGCTTCAAGATAACGTATGGTAAGACCTAAGGTCAGAATCAGAAGCCAGTGTAATTAGTAGAATAATAACCCCTCCCTCCATCCTTCCTTATTTCCTTACGACCTCTTCTTCCATACCTCCTTTCCCTACCTCTCCTACCTACCTTCCTTACCTCTCCTGCCTACCTTCCCTACCTCTCATACCTACTTTCCCAACCTCTCCTACCTCCTCCCTTTCCTATCTCTCCTACTTCCATATCTTCCTTCTCCGTACCTCCTCCCCTACTTCTCCTATCTCCATACCTCCTTTCCCTACCTCTCCTATCTTCCCTACCTCTCACACCTACCTTCCCTACCTCTCCTACCTATCTTCCCTACCTCTCACACCTACCTTCCCTACCTCTCCTACCTATCTTCCCTACCTCTCACACCTACCTTCCCTACCTCTCCTACCTCCCTTCCCTATCTCTCCTATCTGCTACCTGGCTTCCCTGCCTCTGCCAATCATACTATCAACAACTCTAGCACAAGGACTGGGTTGCTCTAGTGTTTACAACCACTGCATCAAGGTGCACAATAACACGCCTCACTTTCCTGCTGGATTCTTCACCTTAATTGACACTGAACATTTTTCACAGAAGCACCTAAGTTCACCTGTCTTCTAATTACATGTTCATTTTTCCACTATAATCTACCTTGTTCATAATTACTATCGCATTTGATTTGTCTGTTTCGTAAGGTGAAGTCCAGGATCTTTCCTTAATTCATGGTATAACTTAACAATCTTTGATGACAATAGTGTTGTAGAGGTCTGAGCTTTGCTGTGCTGGGCTGTGCTGGGCTGTGCTGGGCTGTGCTGGGTTGTGCTGGGCTGTGCTGGGTTGTGCTGGGTTGTGCTGGGCTGTGCTGGGTTGTGCTGGGCTGTGCTGGGCTGTGCTGGGCTGTGCTGGGTTGTGCTGGGCTGTGCTGGGTTGTGCTGGGTTGTGCTGGGCTGTGCTGGGCTGTGCTGGGCTGTGCTGGGCTGTGCTGGGCTGTGCTGGGTTGTGCTGGGCTGTGCTGGGCTGTGCTGGGTTGTGCTGGGTTGTGCTGGGCTGTGCTGGGTTGTGCTGGGTTGTGCTGGGCTGTGCTGGGCTGTGCTGGGTTGTGCTGGGCTGTGCTGGGTTGTGCTGGGCTGTGCTGGGCTGTGCTGGGCTGTGCTGGGTTGTGCTGGGCTGTGCTCAGACTTCTGCAACACAATTAAAGAAAGATCCTGGACTCCACTACTAAGTAAAGATCCTGGACTCCACTACTAAGTAAAGATCCTGGACTCCACTACTAAGTAAAGATCCTGGACTCCACTACTAAGTAAAGATCCTGGACTCCACTACTAAGTAAAGATCCTGGACTCCACTACTAAGTAAAGATCCTGGACTCCACTACTAAGTAAAGATCCTGGACTCCACTACTAAGTAAAGATCCTGGACTCCACTACTAAGTAAAGCTCCTGGACTCCACTACTAAGTAAAGATCCTGGACTCCACTACTAAGTAAAGCTCCTGGACTCCACTACTAAGTAAAGCTCCTGGACTCCACTACTAAGTAAAGCTCCTGGACTCCACTACTAAGTAAAGCTCCTGGACTCCACTACTAAGTAAAGCTCCTGGACTCCACTACTAAGTAAAGCTCCTGGACTCCACTACTAAGTAAAGCTCCTGGACTCCACTACTAAGTAAAGCTCCTGGACTCCACTACTAAGTAAAGCTCCTGGACTCCACCTTACAAAACAGACAAAGCAAGTGCCGTAGTAATTATAAACAAGGTAGATCATAGTGGAAAAAAATGTTATTAGAAGACGGGGGAACTTACGAGTCTGTTAAAAATATTGTGTTTATATACTAATGCCTGGTTGATCAGACCCTGATCCACCCCGAGGCCTGGTCACAGACCTGACTCTCCCGTAGGGGAGAGTCAAGAGGAACTGACTCTCCTGAAGGGGGATTGAAGAGGAACTGACTCTCCTGAAGGGGGGATTTGAGAGGAACTGACTCTCCTGAAGGGGGGATTTGAGAGGAACTGACTCTCCTGAAGGGGCGATTTGAGAGGAACTGACTCTCCTGAAGGGGGACTCAAGAGGACCTGACTCTCCTGAAAGGGGACTCAGGAGGAACTGACTCTCCTGAAGGTGGGACTCAAGAAGCCCTGACTCTCCTGAAGGGGGACTCAAGAGAACCTGACTCTCCTGAAGGGGAACTCAAGAGAACCTGACTCTCCTGAAGGGGAACTCAAGAGGACCTGACTCTCCTGAAGGGGGACTCAAGAGGACCTGACTCTCCTGAAGGGGGACTCAAGAGGACCTGACTCTCCTGAAGGGGGACTCAAGAGGGCCTGACTCTCCTGAAGGGGGACTCAAGAGGGCCTGACTCTCCTGAAGGGGGACTCAAGAGGACCTGACTCTCCTGAAGGGGGACTCAAGAGGACCTGACTCTCCTGAAGGGGGACTCAAGAGGACCTGACTCTCCTGAAGGGGGACTCAAGAGGACCTGACTCTCCTGAAGGGGGACTCAAGAGGACCTGACTCTCCTGAAGGGGGACTCAAGAGGACCTGACTCTCCTGAAGGGAGACTCAAGAGGACCTGACTCTCCTGAAGGGGGACTCAAGAGGACCTGACTCTCCTGAAGGGGGACTCAAGAAAGAGGACCTGACTCTCCTGAAGTGGGACTCAAGAGGAACTGACTCTCCTGAAGGGGGACTCAAGAGGACCTGACTCTCCTGAAGGGGGACTCAAGAGGACCTGACTCTCCTGAAGGGGGACTCAGGAGGACCTGACTCTCCTGAAGGGGGACTCAAAAGGACCTGACTCTCCTGAAGGGGGACTCAAGAGGACCTGACTCTCCTGAAGGGGGACTCAAGAGGACCTGACTCTCCTGAAGGGGGACTCAGGAGGACCTGACTCTCCTGAAGGGGGACTCAAAAGGACCTGACTCTCCTGAAGGGGGACTCAAGAGGACCTGACTCTCCTGAAGGGGGGACTCAAGAGGACCTGACTCTCCTGAAGGGGACTCAAAAGGACCTGACTCTCCTGAAGGGGGACTCAAGAGGACCTGACTCTCCTGAAGGGGGGACTCAAGAGGACCTGACTCTCCTGAAGGGGGACTCAAGAGGACCTGACTCTCCTGAAGGGGGGACTCAAGAGGACCTGACTCTCCTGAAGGGGGGACTCAAGAGGACCTGACTCTCCTGAAGGGGGACTCAAGAGGACCTGACTCTCCTGAAGGGGGGACTCAAGAGGACCTGACTCTCCTGAAGGGGGACTCAAGAGGACCTGACTCTCCTGAAGGGGGACTCAAGAGGACCTGACTCTCCTGAAGGGGGGACTCAAGAGGACCTGACTCTCCTGAAGGGGGACTCAAGAGGACCTGACTCTCCTGAAGGGGGGACTCAAGAGGACCTAACTCTCCTGAAGGGGGACTCAAGAGGACCTGACTCTCCTGAAGGGAGACTCAAGAGGACCTGACTCTCCTGAAGGGGGACTCAAGAGGACCTGACTCTCCTGAAGGGGGACTCAAGAAAGAGGACCTGACTCTCCTGAAGTGGGACTCAAGAGGAACTGACTCTCCTGAAGGGGGACTCAAGAGGACCTGACTCTCCTGAAGGGGGATTCAAGAGGACCTGACTCTCCTGAAGGGGGACTCAGGAGGACCTGACTCTCCTGAAGGGGGACTCAAAAGGACCTGACTCTCCTGAAGGGGGACTCAAGAGGACCTGACTCTCCTGAAGGGGGACTCAGGAGGACCTGACTCTCCTGAAGGGGGACTCAGGAGGACCTGACTCTCCTGAAGGGGGGACTCAAGAGGACCTGACTCTCCTGAAGGGGGACTCAGGAGGACCTGACTCTCCTGAAGGGGGACTCAAGAGGACCTGACTCTCCTGAAGGGGGGACTCAAGAGGACCTGACTCTCCTGAAGGGGGACTCAGGAGGACCTGACTCTCCTGAAGGGGGACTCAAGAGGACCTGACTCTCCTGAAGGGGGGACTCAAGAGGACCTGACTCTCCTGAAGGGGGACTCAAGAGGACCTGACTCTCCTGAAGGGGGACTCAAGAGGACCTGACTCTCCTGAAGGGGGGACTCAAGAGGACCTGACTCTCCTGAAGGGGGAACTCAAGAGGACCTGACTCTCCTGAAGGGGGGACTCAAGAGGACCTGACTCTCCTGAAGGGGGGACTCAAGAGGACCTGACTCTCCTGAAGGGGGAACTCAAGAGGACCTGACTCTCCTGAAGGGGGGACTCAAGAGGACCTGACTCTCCTGAAGGGGGACTCAAGAGGACCTGACTCTCCTGAAGGGGGACTCAAGAGGACCTGACTCTCCTGAAGGGGGACTCAAGAGGACCTGACTCTCCTGAAGGGGGAACTCAAGAGGACCTGACTCTCCTGAAGGGGGAACTCAAGAGGACCTGACTCTCCTGAAGGGGGGACTCAAGAGGACCTGACTCTCCTGAAGGGGGGACTCAAGAGGACCTGACTCTCCTGAAGGGGGACTCAGGAGGACCTGACTCTCCTGAAGGGGGGACTCAAGAGGACCTGACTCTCCTGAAGGGGGGACTCAAGAGGACCTGACTCTCCTGAAGGGGGACTCAGGAGGACCTGACTCTCCTGAAGGGGGAACTCAAGAGGACCTGACTCTCCTGAAGGGGGACTCAAGAGGACCTGACTCTCCTGAAGGGGGACTCAAGAGGACCTGACTCTCCTGAAGGGGGACTCAAGAGGACCTGACTCTCCTGAAGGGGGGACTCAAGAGGACCTGACTCTCCTGAAGGGGGACTCAGGAGGAACTGACTCTCCTGAAGGGGGACTCAAGAGGACCTGACTCTCCTGAAGGGGGACTCAGGAGGAACTGACTCTCCTGAAGGGGGGACTCAAGAGGACCTGACTCTCCTGAAGGGGGACTCAGGAGGAACTGACTCTCCTGAAGGGGGGACTCAAGAGGACCTGACTCTCCTGAAGGGGGGACTCAAGAGGACCTGACTCTCCTGAAGGGGGACTCAAGAGGACCTGACTCTCCTGAAGGGGGACTCAAGAGGACCTGACTCTCCTGAAGGGGGACTCAAGAGGACCTGACTCTCCTGAAGGGGGGACTCAAGAGGACCTGACTCTCCTGAAGGGGGACTCAGGAGGAACTGACTCTCCTGAAGGGGGGACTCAAGAGGACCTGACTCTCCTGAAGGGGGACTCAGGAGGAACTGACTCTCCTGAAGGGGGACTCAAGAGAACCTGACTCTCCTGAAGGGGGGACTCAAGAGGACCTGACTCTCCTGAAGGGGGGACTCAAGAGGACCTGACTCTCCTGAAGGGGACTCAAGAGGACCTGACTCTCCTGAAGGGGGGACTCAAGAGGACCTGACTCTCCTGAAGGGGGGACTCAAGAGGACCTGACTCTCCTGAAGGGGGACTCAAGAGGACCTGACTCTCCTGAAGGGGGGACTCAAGAGAACCTGACTCTCCTGAAGGGGGGACTCAAGAGGACCTGACTCTCCTGAAGGGGGGACTCAAGAGGACCTGACTCTCCTGAAGGGGGACTCAAGAGGACCTGACTCTCCTGAAGGGGGGACTCAAGAGGACCTGACTCTCCTGAAGGGGGACTCAAGAGGACCTGACTCTCCTGAAGGGGGGACTCAAGAGGACCTGACTCTCCTGAACGGGGACTCAAGAGGACCTGACTCTCCTGAAGGGGGGACTCAAGAGGACCTGACTCTCCTGAAGGGGGGACTCAAGAGGACCTGACTCTCCTGAAGGGGGGACTCAAGAGGACCTGACTCTCCTGAAGGGGGACTCAAGAGGACCTGAGTCTCCTGAAGGGGGGACTCAAGAGGACCTGACTCTCCTGAAGGGGGGACTCAAGAGGACCTGACTCTCCTGAAGGGGGGACTCAAGAGGAACTACACTATACACAAAACTTTCTGCTCACTTTTCTTAGCAATTTCCATATCCCAAATAAAGACTTCTTGTTCTTTACTGTTATTGTTCAGCATGTTCTCCCCCTCTCTTGCGCAGCAATAACATAAGTGGTCTTCCTGCTCAATAGTGTTATTGTTCTCTGTGTTTGTTCTAACCCAAGTTATGGTTGTTCTTATTGTTCTTGTTATTGATCTGTGTGTTTGTTCTCCTCTTACCCTCGGCGTAAACTAAGCTTTCTTCTTCCTCAGTAATGTTACTGTTGTTTGTTATTGTTGTCCAGTATCTATCTATCTATCTTTATATATATATATATATATATATATATATATATATATATATATATATATATATATATATATATATATATATATATATATATATATGTCGTGCCGAATAGGCAGAACTTGCGATCTTGGCTTAAATAGCAACGTTCATCTTGCCATATAGGACAAGCGAAAATTTGTGTATGCAATAATTTCGCCAAAATCATTCTGAACCTAACTAAAAGAATGTATTTCACTGTGTTTGTTTAATATTAAATTATTGTAAACAAATCTAAAATATATTTAGTTGGGTTAGGCTAAAATAAATTTTTCTTGTTATAATAAGGTTAGGTAAGTTTTCTAAGATTCTTTTGGAGCAAAATTATAAATTTTTACATTAATATTAATGAAAAAAATATATCTTTAAACGTACAAGAGAAAATTTTAGAAAAGACTTATTTTTAAATGAGTTCTTGCTAATTGACCAGTTTTACATATTCGGCACGACATATATATATATATATATATATATAATATATATATATATATATATATTATATATATATATATATAATATATAATATATATATATATATATATATATATATATAATATATATATATATATATAACGACTATGAATAATTTTATGTGAAGAACATTAAGAACTCTGTACTGAAGGAAGAGGGAACAAATAACTTTCCTGTTCTATAACACTACCGGTTCTATTGTTCTGCAAGAATTTTTGCAATCCTTTTCTTAGGTAACATAACCGACCTGTGTTCTTGAATAACATACGTCTCTGTTCGCTAATATTTCTTCTCTACCTTCTGCAGTACCGGCCGCGAAAGAAGGCTCGGCTGGTGCCGCCTCCGTGCGGGTCAGGTCGCGGGCTGCAAGAGGGCACTGGGTCGCGAACTCCCTCTCCAGGAGGCTCCCGCTTGAGTTCGATGCCAAGAAGACAACGCCGACCAGCTGTCAAGCTGCTCTCCTCGACTCGCCTGTGCATCAGCGTCGCCACGCAGCCCAGAGCCGCCCACAACGCCGCCAAGAAGAAGAAACGAGGAGGAAGAGGAAGAGGAGGAGGAGATAAACCATGTCAAAACGGTAGCAACGGCAGGAAAGCTTCTTCAAGAGGCACTTCGCAAGGCTCCAATCCGAAGAGGCGCAACGGAAACACTTCCGGCAAGGATCACAGAAAGAACTCAAGAAGTTCCAAATGCCCCCACCCCAGGGGCGGTGGGGTCTCCAGGAGGACCAAGGGGCTCTCCAAGGGGTTCTTCACCCCTCCGACTCCACCCTCACCGGCCTGTCCATCCCCGTTGTCCCCGGAGTCGCTGGTCTTCTTCCTGGACGACGATTCGGAAGCCCACACGCCCTTACCCACGCCCACGGACTTCAGCGGCGCTCTCTTAGGCTGCTGCTCTGTCTTAGACACACCCACGCCCTCTCCTGAGCCTGTAGACACCACGCCCACCCGTGGTACACATGATACCCTGGGCGACCTCTCCTACCTGGCTGATATATTACAGGTCAGTATGAGAGAGAGAGAGAGAGAGAGAGAGAGAGAGAGAGAGAGAGAGAGAGAGAGAGAGAGAGAGAGAGAGAGAGAGAGAGAGAGAGAAGAGAGAATGTGAAACCTGTAAAACGAGATGTAGAAGAGTGTTAGGGAGCATATGGACACGAGGGGTGACACTTCTTAAAGCTTAGCTGTTAGTGGCCTCTGTTCTCTCTCTCTCTCCACACTGTGTTGTCCATTATGTATATTTACATTCCTCGCACTGTCACTCATTCCTTCTAGATATTTACATCCATCTTGTTCCTTCATTCCTTCTAGATATTGACATCTATTTCACTCATTCACTTGTTCATTTCAACTTCCATTTCTATCATTTTTTTCTCTGGAATTTGCTCACAGTATCTATCATTACTCTTTATTACTTTATTTTCCAGATGTCTCCTCAGTTTCCGGTGGACCTGGACCTCAGTCCCGAGCTGGACCTCGAGTCGTGCTCCTCCTCGACCACCACTTCGGCCTCGGGGTCCCACTTCGAGTTCTCGTGTACACCAGATGTAGCCGATGCTCTTTGTGACGTGGGTCTGACAGTGTCAGACTGGCTGGATCCATCGCTGAACAATCTCATATGTTCTTAAGTGCCACTTGACTTGCTCTAGCCACTCAGTGCCACTCGACTTGCTCTAGCCACTCAGTGCCACTCGACTTGCTCTAGAACTGGCTGAACTGACCTGAAGATGCAATTGTTGTGTATCATGGAGTAAGAAGTGAATCGCTGTGACTTAAAGAGACATTGCAATGTTCTAACTTGAGTTAGAAATGCTATTCTTATTGGAGTTTCAAGTGGTACAGCTCCGACTTGAACGAGTGGAATCGTTTTGACTTAGATAAGAAGTGCAAGTGTTCCCATTCTGAGTAGCAAGTAAAACTGTTCTCTATAGAGCATCTTGCTTGCTACTAGAGAAGAATAACGAGAAATCAGACAAACAAACATTCTAGGAAATACAGGGTTGCTAGAGATTACACATAAACTGTATAAGATCAGTGAGTAAGAGTGTTGTTGCTTTTGTAGATGCTTAGAGGAATATACCTTGAGCTTACTTCAGTTGCCGGAAATTGATTCTTTCGAGGCACTGGTTAGGATCACTGTCATTTAAGATATCATCCCAGCATGTTTCATATGGAACATGATTTATCTGATCCCAGTTGATGTTCTTGTTGTTCAAGTTGAATTTGGCGAAGAGCAATGCATGCACGAGATTTTGCAAGGTATTACGCTCACGTGATCTTAGTACTTAAGTATTAATCACTAACCAAGAAGGTTGAACCATGATTGACAGCCATTTTGGGGTTTCATCGTCGAAGGTGTTGTGACATTTGGTTATCTACCTGATTGTATGGTAAGAGGAGGAACGGCAGATGCAAGGAAACCTATCCACATATTTTGCATGCCCAGGAATCGAACCCGAAGTCCTTTGTGATCCTAAGGCTATGATCACTGAGCTCCTGGGTTACCCCGTCTACTCTACATACAAATACGTTTCCTTGGCTACGTATCGCACAATAACTAAGACGACCAAAAACAAAAGGATTAAAACACAGACTGATCAAAGCACAATATGGATGGGGAACCGAACAAGCGGCGAGCGAGTCGCAAAACTCGAGGCCAGTGCATAAGCCACTGGGCCACTGGCTACAATAAGATTCATCCCACTAGGTATATTTATACACAGCACAAGAAGGTTAGCATGGGCCACTACTGTGACCACAAATGCAAGTTTTTACAGACGAATCTCCCGCCAGCGTGGCTCTGGCGATCTCTAGCCTAGCTCATAATACAGGACGATGTAAACAAGGTGTGACTCACAGCTGAAGTAAATGAAGACGGTCATATTTGATGTGAAAAAAATTAAAACAACAGCGAAATTAATTCTCTGTGAAAAACGGACACTTGTGCGTAGCTAAGGGCATTTATTAAGGGAAACGTAGCTAAGGACATTTATTAAGGGAAATGCAGCTAAGGACATTTATTAAGGGAAACGTAGCTAAGGACATTTATTAAGGGAAACGTAGCTAAGGACATTTAAGGGAAACGTAGCTAAGGACATTTATTAAGGGAAACGTAGCTAAGGACATTTATTAAGGGAAACGCAGCTAAGAACATTTATTAAGGGAAACGCAGGTAAGGACATTTATTAAGGGAAACGTAGCTAAGGACATTTATTAAGGGAAACGTAGCTAAGGACATTTATTAAGGGAAACGCAGCTAAGGACATTTATTAAGGGAAACGTTTCGCCACAAGTGGCTTCATCAGTCCTGATCAATAAATGTCCAGAACTCAGCGCAAGTGTGTCCTTTTGCACAACTGGTCTGTCCTCCCACGCCATTTACACGTAATGTTATGAGGTGTCTCGGTATTTAACACACTAGTGCGGGTCTCCTGGTAATGAAGAGGAATATAGTGTGTGTGTGTGTGTGTGTGTGTGTGTGTGTGTGTGTGTGTGTGTGAAAGAAATACACGTCCAACAGAACCGATAATTTAAACCGAATGATTTTTTAGGGGGCAGGATTATATATATATATATATATATATATATATATATATATATATATATATATATATATATATATATATATATATATATATCACATAGGTCTCCAATTCCTGTCTTTTCTTATCACCCATCATCACAGTTATTATATGTCCCATTTATCACCCATTGCTCCTAGCCTCATTCATTCACTAGTGATACATCAGTAGATAATCGGGTTGTTATTAAGTAGCATCTGTTGTTTTTGTGACTGAAGATGAGTGAATAACGGGGGGAAATAACGGGGGTAAATAACGGGGGGAAATAACGGGGGGAAATAAATTAAAATTAATAAAACACAGAGTACAACAAATTTAAATTAACATCACGAGTGAAAAAAAAAAAATATTTGACAGAATGAAGTAGAGAATGAATTTGAATGAAACGATGGCAAACCTTCAGTAATGAATGAAGGATCGTGGCTTCTCTCCTACTGAATGAAAACAATATTCGTGCACTAGTGAACGCACTAGCCATGGTTCTGAATTAGTGAATTGAGTGTTTTAAGTCCCAGCTAGTGAATGCAACGATCACAGTGAAAAAAAAATGAATTAAGTGGTGAAGGAAATAGAATGAAGTTCTTTAGAAAATCTAAAAAAAATAGAAAATATTAAAGCTGAAATTTACGAAAAGACGAAAAAAAATAGATTTAAAAGTGTAATAAACATAATTAATACCGTTTTATATACCGGAAGGTAATTAAGCTCTCAAAAAAGGTAATTACCTGAAGGTAATTGACCGAGAAACTGTGTTGTGGTTTTTTTTAAGGCAAAATCGATTTATCATAATTAATCGATTTATAAAGGATCACTAAACCTTCACGGGAATGCTGAAAGATGGGGCTCTGGGGGGGCGCTGACCCCTTTCCAAAACACTCCTTGAGGGGGGAATTGGGAAGACAAGGAAAGTACAAGAGGAAAATGTAAAGAAATGTGTAAACACAGACATTTGGATAATAGAAGAATGGAAAGAGAGAAAAACAAATGGAAAGACGAAGTGGGAAATTTGGAAATGCCCAAAAAAATGGGCCAAAGGTGTCAGGATTTTGTACACCTTAACGCCAAATGGACTACAGGTGTTAAAGACATTTGCGTGCATCTTCCTGATAAAATATGTGCGTCACATAGGTGTTTTTCTTACTTCTGGGAATGACTGAAAGCGTTTAACAGTGTTCGAAATCCTAAATCGAACGTTTAAACCAGTGGACGAGAGTGGGAAATCGAACACACACACACACGAACCGGTGTTCTGACCCAGACTTGAACACCGGTAGCAATGTTTGGGAAACAATAGCAGAACACGACCAATAAGGATATGCAGAGGTCGTCATACGACGCGTGTTGAAGAGACGACACACGCTGCACGACACGTTCTTATAGGGGCAACGTTTCGTTCAGTTCTTCCGCAAGGTGCATCCTTTCTTCGTGACTAAAATGTGCTCTGAATGCAGAAACATGTGTTCTCGTGTTCCCCAAAACAGCCTCTTTCGAACACGACTGACTATGTGTTATGAAGGCAGAAAAGTGTGTTCTCGTCCCCCCAACGACCGCTTTCGAACACAAATGACTCTTGCGAACACAGAAACGTGTTCTTGTCCCCCCAACAACCACCCACTTTCGACCCAACAACCACTTTCGCACAAGAGTGACTGTTGTGAACACAGACATGTGTTCTTGTCCTCCCACACAAATCAGCTGCTGATCTCAGGTATTCCCGACAGAACACAATTCCCATTTGCTTTTAGCGCTTGATTTGCACGTGTAAATAAACAAGACAAGTGTTCCTTCGGGGCATTGAATCTAAGTCATTAATTGTGATTTGTGGGATTTTATATATATATATAAATGTGTGTGATTGTGGGATTTGAAAATAGATATATACTATATACTTTTATCAAGTGTACGAAAAGTGCTATTGTTTCGAACAGGGAAGGAAGCTCAGAGGCAGATATATCTTTTCAAGTGAATGCCACTGATTGAAAAGAAATTAAAAAAAAAAAAAATTAAACTGTGTTTTTATAGATTTCTCGAGCTTAAAATCCCGTCTTTTCAAAATTAGAGACCCTTTAATTTCGACCCAAAATAAACCAATGGGTGATGGTTCGTCTGAGTTCTTTTTATATATGATTTAAGCCTGATCGATGGGTTTTTCTTCCTAACACTGGTTCGATCCCTGATACGTAAACCGCAGTTATGGTTTTAATGTAAAGAAAAAAACCTTATGGACCATGTTTCGAAGAGTGGCTGAAGAATTCATGGGCTCCCACTGTTTCTCGTACAGGATTTGCTCGACCGGGTTGTAGGAATGTAATTACCATCAACTTTATACATTGCATTTTAAAGCCTTGAAAAGTTTCTCGTAATGAATTAAAATTTCTTTGAAATCAAGGAACCGGTAGGGTTTCGAACCCAGGGCAGTTGAGTGTTAAAACTTACAGGCCAGTGCGTTAACCACTGGGCCGGCTGGCACTTAATAAGATTCACCCGACTGGACATATTTCTACACACCGTAGGGAGGTTAACATGGGCCACACACTGTGACCACAAGTGCTGGTTTTTACGGCACTCGCCTTGGTTTCAAAACCTCACCCGTTCCGGGGTTTATTTGTTATTGAGGTTACGTGAGTCGAGTTGTGAAATGTGCTGAAGGGAAAAAAAAATTAGTGGTGTGAACCAATAATTGAAATACCTTAAAGATAAAAGAATGTCACATACACTGAAAAAATTGCTAGTATTCCCCCCCAAAAAAATTATACATCAATATATATTTTTTCTAACTCCTGCAATGCTGCCTATATTCAACAAAGTAAACGTTAAACCATATTTAACTTGGTTAATCTTACACTGCTGGGTTAACACTATTCTGGTACCGTATTACAAAATTTTTAATGGTGGGATATATTATTTTTTGGGGGTGGAGGAGGGAATGAAGGGGGGGAGGGGGGGGTTAAATTATGAAGGTATTTTAAGTGCGTTATTGTTGTTGTTGTTTGTGTGGACAAAATTGATGTTAGTGACTGTAGAAAGAAGAGGTTATTGTGTACTACATGTACGTACAGGACCAGCTTAGTGTGTGTGTACAGGACCAGCTTAGTGTGTGTGTACAGGACCAGCTTAGTGTGTGTGTACAGGACCAGCTTAGTGTGTGTGTACAGGACCAGCTTAGTGTGTGTGTACAGGACCAGCTTAGTGTGTGTGTACAGGACCAGCTTAGTGTGTGTGTACAGGACCAGCTTAGTGTGTGTGTACAGGACCAGCTTAGTGTGTGTGTACAGGACCAGCTTAGTGTGTGTGTACAGGACCAGCTTAGTGTGTGTGTACAGGACCAGCTTAGTGTGTGTGTACAGGACCAGCTTAGTGTGTGTGTACAAGACCAGCTTAGTGTGTGTGTACAAGACCAGCTTAGTGTGTGTGTACAGGACCAGCTTAGTGTGTGTGTACAGGACCAGCTTAGTGTGTGTGTACAGGACCAGCTTAGTGTGTGTGTACAGGACCAGCTTAGTGTGTGTGTACAAGACCAGCTTAGTGTGTGTGTACAAGACCAGCTTAGTGTGTGTGTACAGGACCAGCTTAGTGTGTGTACAAGACCAGCTTAGTGTGTGTGTACACGACCAGCTTAGTGTGTGTGTACAGGACCAGCTTAGTGTGTGTGTACAAGACCAGCTTAGTGTGTGTGTACAGGACCAGCTTAGTGTGTGTGTACAAGACCAGCTTAGTGTGTGTGTACAGGACCAGCTTAGTGTGTGTGTACAAGACCAGCTTAGTGTGTGTGTACAGGACCAGCTTAGTGTGTGTGTACAGGACCAGCTTAGTGTGTGTGTACAGGACCAGCTTAGTGTGTGTGTACAGGACCAGCTTAGTGTGTGTGTACAAGACCAGCTTAGTGTGTGTGTACAGGACCAGCTTAGTGTGTGTGTACAGGACCAGCTTAGTGTGTGTGTACAAGACCAGCTTAGTGTGTGTGTACAGGACCAGCTTAGTGTGTGTGTACAGGACCAGCTTAGTGTGTGTGTACAGGACCAGCTTAGTGTGTGTGTACAAGACCAGCTTAGTGTGTGTGTACAGGACCAGCTTAGTGTGTGTACAAGACCAGCTTAGTGTGTGTGTACACGACCAGCTTAGTGTGTGTGTACAGGACCAGCTTAGTGTGTGTGTACAAGACCAGCTTAGTGTGTGTGTACAGGACCAGCTTAGTGTGTGTGTACAGGACCAGCTTAGTGTGTGTGTACAGGACCAGCTTAGTGTGTGTGTACAGGACCAGCTTAGTGTGTGTGTACAGGACCAGCTTAGTGTGTGTACAAGACCAGCTTAGTGTGTGTGTATAGGACCAGCTTAGTGTGTGTGTACAGGACCAGCTTAGTGTGTGTGTACAGGACCAGCTTAGTGTGTGTGTATAGGACCAGCTTAGTGTGTGTGTACAGGACCAGCTTAGTGTGTGTGTACAGGACCAGCTTAGTGTGTGTGTACAAGACCAGCTTAGTGTGTGTGTACAGGACCAGCTTAGTGTGTGTGTACAGGACCAGCTTAGTGTGTGTGTACAGGACCAGCTTAGTGTGTGTGTACAGGACCAGCTTAGTGTGTGTACAAGACCAGCTTAGTGTGTGTGTATAGGACCAGCTTAGTGTGTGTGTACAGGACCAGCTTAGTGTGTGTGTACAAGACCAGCTTAGTGTGTGTGTACAGGACCAGCTTAGTGTGTGTGAACAGGACCAGCTTAGTGTGTGTGTACAGGACCAGCTTAGTGTGTGTGTACAGGACCAGCTTAGTGTGTGTGTACAGGACCAGCTTAGTGTGTGTGTACAGGGCCAGCTTAGTGTGTGTGTACAGGACCAGCTTAGTGTGTGTGTACAGGACCAGCTTAGTGTGTGTGTACAGGACCAGCTTAGTGTGTGTGTACAGGACCAGCTTAGTG